CTTGCACGGGACGCTGCCGCACCACGACGCCATCCAAAGTGACGTCGATGCAAGTCACAAGACATGCACGTCCACAGTCTGGACATCTGCTATCAAAGACGTGGCAAAGCAAGCCCGATGCCCCGGTCGCAGGCAAATCGATGTCGACGTCGGACTCGACATTGCCATCGTCCTCCGACTCGTCGCCAGACTCGACGTCGTCGGCGTAGCAGACGGTCACCCGAAGATACGAGAGGGCGTCTAAGACGGCCACGCCCGTAAGACCGTCGTAGAGGTCGGCGCGCTCCGACGCTTCGTCCTCCGACGCCTCGTTCTCCGAGAAGTCGTCCGACGCGTCCGAATCCGAGTCCACAGGGCCCTCGCCGCTCCATATGGATGCGTGTACGTACTGGCCAAAGCCATGCTGATTTTTGACCCTGAACGTGCGATCAGAGGCCGCCGGAAGCTCTCCTGCATCGCGCAGCGCGTCGTAGCGGGCCTGGCAGACGTTGCGGAGGCAGTCGACGCGCCGGTCCACGGCAGCGATGTCGCGGAGGAGCTGAGAATCACCGCCGCGCGCGCGAGTGAGCACGGTATCGCAGAATCCGATGACCGCCGACGCGGCCGCGTCGAGCGCACCGGGTGCGAGGATCGCTGAGCTCCCTTGGAGCGCGAGGATCTGCAGCGCCCGGTGAATCGCGGACTGCGGCGTCGGCCCGTCGACCGGCGCCGCCTCGCACCACGCGAGCGACGGGCGGCTCATTGGCGCCAGCGCAGCGTGGAGGGGCTCGCGCGTGCGAGCCCAGCGATCTGGTGCCAGCGCGGGCTCATCCATCCAAGGGCTTGCGACGCATCCAGCGCACGAGCAGCCTTTCGGTCGGCGGCGCCGGCCTGCGAGTCGATCCGCGCCAGATAGAGCGATGACGGCGTCGACATCGCCCGCGTGCACGCACAATGATCCGCGATGGATGGCGTGGATGCATGCGTCCGCGAATAACCGGCGAGCGAAATCGCCCGCGGCCGCGTTCAACGCGGCTGACGCCCGCGGCGCGATCCGCGGCGGCAGGAACTCTTCAATTATATTGATGATGTCCGAGGCCAGCCGCCGCGCCAGGGGATGCGAGCCTCGCAGAACACCGCAGCATCCGACGAGCATGGCATTAAACGCGCGCGGAGGAAAGGCAGGGCCATCACGAGCCTGCGCATCGCGCATGAGCACTTCCCCATGCGCTAGCAGCGCCTCTTCCGCTGCGTCCCATCGTTCGTCGATACTCGCACTGTCCGAGTCGGAGTCGGCCATCGAGTCGCTTCGCATGCTCTGCTTCAACAAAACCAGACTCTTTCGTGAGGTCAGCAGTGCACTCGGTTGGTTTTGGCCGACGATGTTGTCGCCCCGACCGCCCGGGCAGCCTCCGCGGCGGCGGCCGCCCCCCTCGGAGGTCGGGCGGTGATGCGCGTCGCCGGCCTCTGGCTGGCACTCGCCGCGGCGGCGCCGGCGCCGGCGCCCGCGGCGCTCGAGGAGCCGCGGCGGCTCTGGAGCGGCGCCTGCGCGCACATGGCGTTCTCGTCGACGCCGCGGACCGTCGGCGCCGCGTCCGGCGCGACGGCGCTCTCCTCGGCGGACGTCGACGGCGACGCCGACGTCGACGTCGTCGCCGCGGCGCTCCTCGGCGACGCGGTGTCGTGGCACGAAAACGACGGCAGCCTGAGCTTCGCGCCTCGGACGATCGCGACGCCGGACGGCCCCATGGGCGTCTTCGCCGTCGACGTCGACGGCGACGCCGACGTGGACATCCTGGCGGCGTCGATGAACGACGACACCGTCGCCTGGTACGAGAACGACGCGTCGCAGTCGTTCTCGAAGCGGATCGTGTCGTCATCCGCCGACGGCGCGACGTCCGTCGCGGCCGTCGACGCGGACGGCGACGGCGACGTGGACGTCTTCGCCGCCGCGGCCGTCGACGGCACGGTGATCTGGCACCGCAACGACGGCTCCGAGTCCTTCAGTGCGACGACGCTGTCGACGGCGGCCGCCGGCGCGTTCGACCTCGCGACGTTCGACGTCGACGACGACGGCGACGCGGACGTGCTCGTCGCGTCCTACGCCGACGACAGCGTGCGCTTCTTCAAGAACGACGGGCCGAACTGGTTCGGCGTCTACGAGTGGCAGGAGCGCGTCGTCACGACGCTCGCGGACACCGTCTACGGCGTCGCCGCCTACGACGTCGACGGCGACGGCGACGACGACCTGCTCGCCGCGTCCACGGCCGACGACAGCGTCCGCTGGTACGAGAACGACGGCCAGGAGTCCTTCTCGGCGCGGCTCGTCACGGCCGCGGCCGACGGCGCGTCCGCCGTCGCGGCCGCGGACGTCGACAACGACGGCGACGGCGACGTCGTCTCCGCCTGGGAGAAGGACGACGTCGTCGCCTGGCACGAGAACGACGGCTCCGAGTCCTTCGCGACGCGCTACGTCTCCACGGCCGCCGCGCGGCCCTTCGCGCTGGAGATCCGCGACGTCGACGGCGACGCGGACGCGGACGTGCTCGCGGCGAACTACGGCGCCGACGCCGTCGAGTGGTACGTCAGCGAGTGCAGCGGGTCGATGCCCCCGACGAGCATGCCGACGAACGTGCCCACCAACGTGCCCACCGGTGCTCCCTCCGCGACGCCGTCGAATACGCCGAGTTCGACCCCGACGTCCGCGCCAACGTCGCGTCCCTCCGCGACGCCTTCCGCGAGTCCGTCGAGCGCGCCGAGCCCCGCGCCGTCCCCGTGTCCGACGGCGAGTCCCACGAATTCCCCGACGTCGGCGCCGACGTCCACGCCGACGAGCGCCCCCTCGCCTTTGCCGAGCGCCGGTCCGAGCCCTGCGCCGTCCGCGGCTCCTTCGACGCTTCCCTCCTCGCATCCCTCGTCCGTGCCGACGGCCGTCCCGACGTCCGCGCCGACGAGCGGGCCTTCATTTTTCCCGAGCGCTTGCCCTTCCAGCTCGCCTTCGTCGCATCCGAGCTCGAAGCCGTCCTCAGCGCCGTCGGCCGTGCCCACGGCCGCTCCGACCTCTGCGCCTACCGCGTGCCCATCTGGAACCCCCACGGGATCGCCCTCGAGCTCGCCGACGAGCCCGCCGAGCTCGGTGCCCACGGGCTGCCCCTCGAGCACACCCACGGCGATACCGGCGTCCACACCGACGCCGCTGCCCAGCGGGGCGCCCTCGTCGTCACCGTCGAGCCGTCCGTCCTCGGTTCCCTCGGCCTCGCCGAGCTCCGTGCCGTCCTCCAGCCCGTCGGCGCTCCCGTCGGCGTCTCCGTCGCCCGCGCCCTCGTCGGCGCCGAGCAGTGGGCCTTCGACGCGGCCGAGCTCTGTGCCGACGGCGGCGCCGTCGCCGATGCCGTCCAGCGTGCCCTCCGCCGTCCCGACGTCGTCGCCCAGCGGCCTGCCGTCCGCGCTGCCGTCCGTGCCGCCGACGGGCTCGCCGTCGTCTCAGCCGAGCGCCGGCCCGTCGACGGCGCCCACGGCGTGTCCGACGAGCTCCCCAAGCAGCGTCCCGACCTCACGACCAACGGCGACGCCCTCGAACGCGCCGAGTTCGACCCCGACGTCCGCGCCGACGTCCGCGCCGTCCGCCGTGCCTACGATCGTGCCCACGTCGAAGCCCACGTGCCTCCACATGGGATACAGTACGTCGGCGTCGGTCATCACGAGCACGGCGGGCGGCGTCCTCGCGCTCTATCCCCGGGACATCGACGGCGACGGCGACGCGGACGTTGTCGTCGCCGCTTCGAAAGACGACACCGTCACCTGGCTGGAGAACGACGGCTCGTCGACGTCGCCGATCTTCACGACGCGCTCCGTCGCATCGTTCGTGGACGGCGCGAAATCCGTCTTCGTCTACGACGTCGACCGCGACGGCGACCTGGACGTGCTCTCGGCCTCGACGCTCGACGACACGATCGCGTGGTACGAGAACGACGGATCCGAGGGCTTCTCGCTGCGCGTGATCACGGCGTCTGCCGACGGCGCCTCTTCCGTCACCGCGATCGACATCGACGGCGACATGGACGTGGACGTCTTCGCGACAGCCACAAGCGACAACTCGCTCACGTGGCATCAGAACGACGGCTCGCAGTCGTTTACCGCGACCAGCCTGTCTTCGTCGCTCACTGGCGCGTACGCCGTGTTCTTGGCGGATCTCGACAGCGACAGCGACAGCGACGTGCTCGTGGCCGCATCTGGCTCCGACTCAGTGCGGTGGTTCGAGAACGGCGGAGAGAACATGTTCGGAGTCTACGAGTGGACCGAGAGCGAGATCAGCGCCTCCGCGGACTACGCGGTTTGTGTTTACGCGTACGACGTGGACGGCGACGGCGACATGGACGTGCTATCGGCGTCGTACAACGACGACACGGTCGCGTGGTACGAGAACGACGGGTCGCAGTCCTTCGCAAAGCGGATCGTGTCGACGCTGGCGGACGGCGTTTGGTCGGTGACGGCCCTGGACGTGGACGGCGACGGCGATGGCGACGTGTTCTCGGCGTCGGAGAACGACGACTCAGTGGTCTGGTACGAGAACGACGGCTCCGCGTCGTTCGCACGAAACGTGCTCTCCTCGACGACGGAGCGAGCGGTCGACGTCGAAACGATGGACGTGGATGGAGACGTGGACATGGACGTCATCACGGCCTCGTTCGGTGACAACGCAATCGCATGGCACGCCAGCGAGTGCAGCGCGTCGTTCCCGCCGACTGGAGTGCCGACCGCGTCCCCGACGAGCATTCCGACCTCGAACCCCTCTTCGAGTCCCTCGAATCAACCGACATCGGCGCCGACGTCCACGCCGACGAGCGCCCCGTCGCCTTTGCCGAGCGCTGGTCCGAGCCCTTCGCCGTCCGCGGCTCCTTCGACGCTTCCCTCCTCGCATCCCTCGTCCGTGCCGACGGCCGTCCCGACGTCCGCGCCGACGAGCGGGCCTTCATTTCTCCCGAGCGCTTGCCCTTCCAGCTCGCCTTCGTCGCATCCGAGCTCGAAGCCGTCGTCGGCACCATCGGCCGTTCCCACGGCCGCTCCGACCTCTGCGCCTACCGCGTGCCCATCTGGAACCCCCACGGGATCGCCCTCGAGCTCGCCGACGAGCCCGCCGAGCTCGGTGCCCACGGGCTGCCCCTCGAGCACACCGACGGCGATACCCGCGTCCACGCCGACGCCGCTGCCCAGCGGGGCGCCCTCGTCGTCACCGTCGAGCCGTCCGTCCTCGGTTCCCTCGGCCTCGCCGAGCTCCGTGCCGTCGTCGAGCCCGTCGTCGCTACCGTCGGCGTCTCCGTCGCCCGCGCCCTCGTCGGCGCCGTCCAGCCAGCCATCGACGCGGCCGAGCTCTGTGCCAACGGCGGCGCCGTCGCCGATGCCGTCCAGCGTGCCATCCGCCGTCCCGACGTCGTCGCCCAGCGGCCTGCCGTCCGCGCTGCCGTCCGTGCCGCCGACGGGCTCGCCGTCGTCTCAGCCGAGCGCCGGCCCGTCGACGGCGCCCACGGCGTGTCCGACGAGCTCCCCAAGCAGCGTCCCGACCTCACGACCAACGGCGACGCCCTCGAACACGCCGAGTTCGACCCCGACGTCCGCGCCGACGTCCGCGCCGTCCGCCGTGCCTACGATCGTGCCCACGTCGAAGCCCACGTGCCGCTACATCGGCTTTAGCGAGAGCTCTTCCTCAATTTCGTCCTCCGCCAGCGGCGTGACATCTTTATTTCCAGTGGACATCGACGGAGATACGGACTCGGACATCGTCGCGAGTCTTTACAAGACGGACGTTATCGCGTGGTACGAAAACGTCGGGTCCTCAATGTTCACTTCGCGCTCGGTCGCTTCGTCAGTGGATGGTGCCAAGGATGTGTTTGTGTACGACGTCGACCGCGACGGCGACTTGGACGTGCTCTCTGCGTCCGGCCTCGACGACACGATCGCGTGGTACGAGAACGACGGATCCGAGGGTTTTACGCCGCGCGTGATCACGGCGTCCGCGGATAGCGCCACGTCCGTGTCCGCGGTCGACGTCGACGGCGACGCGGACGTGGACGTCCTTGCGACGGCTGCGGTCGACAACTCGCTCACGTGGTACCAGAACGACGGCTCCCAGTCCTTTACCGCGAGCAGCCTGTCGACGTCGCTGACGGGCGCGTACGCCGTGCATTTGGCGGACGTCGACGGCGACGGCGACAGCGACGTGCTCGTCACGGCGGTCGGTATCGATTCGGTGCGGTGGTTCGAGAACGGCGGCGAGAACATGTTCGGAGTCTACGAGTGGACCGAGCGCGAGATCAGCGCCGCCGCGGACTACGCCGTGTGCGTGTACGCGCTCGATCTCGACGGCGACGGCGACGTGGACGCGCTATCGGCGTCGTACAACGACGACACGGTCGCGTGGTACGAGAACGACGGGTCGCAGTCGTTCGCGGAGCGGATCGTGTCGACGTTGGCCGACGGCGTGTGGTCGGTGACGGCGCTGGACGTGGACGGCGACGGCGACGCGGACATGTTCTCGGCGTCGGAGAACGACGACTCGGTAGTGTGGTACGAGAACGACGGCTCCGCGTCGTTTTCGCGAAGGGTGTTGTCATCGACGACGGAGCGCGCGGTCGACGTCGACACGATGGACGTGGACGGCGACGTGGACATGGACGTGATCACGGCGTCGTTCGGAGACAACGCGATCGCGTGGCACGCGAGCGAATGCGGCGGGACGCATCTGCCTTCTGGGGTTCCCACGGGTGTGCCGACGGCTGTACCGAGCTCGAGTCCAAGCAACGCGCCTTCGAGCGTCCCGACGAGCCCTCCGACATCCGTCCCGACCGCGCTGCCCACGGCCAGCCCGTCCTTCCCTCCGACGAGCGCTCCCAGCCCGCTGCCGTCGACGACGCCGTCCACGGTGCCCACGCCCGTGCCCAGCGAGGAGCTCGTCTGCGCGCACATGGTCTTCGCGACGACGGGCGCGAGTTCGATCGCGACGAACGTCCAGGGCGTCACGAGCGTCGCGGCCGTCGACGTGGACCTCGACGGCGACCTCGACGTCGTCACGGGCGCCTACATCGACGACGCCGTCGCCTGGCACGAGAACGACGGCGCCCAGGGCTTCAGCCGGCGCGCCGTCTTCGGCTCCGCGGACGGCGTCTACTCCGTCTTCGCGGTCGACGTCGACGGCGACGGGGACGTCGACGCGCTGTCGGCCGACGCGCTGGCGAGTACCCGCGTCTTTTTTCCGAGATTTGAGAGATGATCGGAGCTTTTCTTAGGCGAACACGGTGGCTTGGTACGAGAACGACGGGAGCCAGTCCTTCTCGCGGCGTTTGTTGACGACGACGGCGACGGTCGCGGCGTCGGTCGCGGCCGTCGACGTCGAGGGCGACGGCGACATCGACGTCTTCTCCGCGGCGCTCGTCGACGACGCCGTCGTCTGGCACGAGAACGACGGGTCCCAGTCCTTCACGGACGTCGTCCTCTCGACGCAGTGCGACGGCGCGTTCGACCTCTACCTCGCGGACGTCGACGACGACGGCGACGCGGACGTGCTCGCGGCGTCCATGCTCGACGACACGGTGCGCTGGTTCGAGAACCACGGCGAGGACATCTTCGGCGTCTTCGAGTGGAGCACGCACGTCGTCGCGACGACGGCGGACTCGGTCTTCTCCGTCTTCGCCATCGACGTCGACGGCGACGTCGACACGGACCTGCTGTCCGCGTCCTTCGACGACGACGCGGTCGCGTGGTACGACAACGACGGCGGCCAGTCCTACGTCGCGCGCCTCGTCTCGACGCGGGCCGACGGCGCCTGGGCCGTGACGGCCCTCGACGTCGACGGCGACAACGACGTCGACGTGTTTTCCGCATCGGAGAACGACGACTCCGTCGTGTGGTACGAGAACGACGGCTCCGCGTCGTTCACCGCGCGCGTGCTGACGTCGACGGCGTCGCGGCCCGTCGCCGTGAGGGGAGCGGACGTCGACGGCGACGGCGACAACGACCTCATGTACGCGGACTACGAGGCGGACTTCGTGGGGTGGATCGAGTGAGGAATTTCGTCTTTTTTTTTGTCATTTTTTTGTCATTTTTTTTTTTCGTAGGTCGCGGTGCTCGTCGACGGTGCTGCCGTCGCCGATTCCGAGCGGGGTGCCGACATCGGTCCCTTCATCGGTTCCGTCGTCGAGTCCATCGTCTCCGCCTTCTAGCGTGCCCAGCTCGGTGCCTAGTGCCAGTCCATCTTCCCTGCCGAGCGGCGTGCCGACCGCCGCGCCTACTTCGGTGCCGTCGTCGTGTCCCTCTTCGAGTCCCAGCAATGTGCCCACGGCGGTTCCGAGCTCAGTCCCGACTGGTTGTCCATCCGCGATGCCCTCGAACGGGCCCTCAAGCGCACCTACG